AAAGAGCTATCTTTCTCCTGCCCTTACAGGACTCTTCCCGGTGGGTTTCTTTTCTTCACCCTGCTGTCATTCCGTTGTACAGGGGCTCATTTTATATCTTAGCGGGATCAATTTATATTCCATTTAACTCTTGGAAACAGAAGTCGTCAGGTTTAAGTAGTTGTGCGCCTCTCAGTGCCTCACATATTCCGTCAGATGTTTATGTTTGCTTTATTACTGGACAAGTTGTTGCTTTTGAGAAGAGGACACCCTCTTGATTTGACGGAGCCTGACGTGCTAGGTGTGCTTAGGGAACACGTCAGCCGCTGTTAGTGTTCAAGAACAGAGCTCAGTACGAAATCGGAGGAAGGAAGGAAGGAAGACCTCTGCTTTTCAGGTGAAGCGTGCATTACTGGAGCTCCAAACTCCATCCTCCTTTTTCAGATGCTCTGCTCCTAGTTGTTGAGAATTAAGTGCCTGTTCCCTCCCCAGTGTGGGCAGAAGGCAAACAAAGATGTTTTTCCTCCTCCAACGGCGAAGGAGAACAGATTTGTCTAGGAGCTGCCATTCCAACACATCAGTGGTCAGTGCAACGACGATCTGTCAAATAAAGCATCTTACTCTTCTGGGTTTTGTTTCTTTGTTTTTAAAAGATAGGCTCTTGGCTGACTGTAAGTGAACAGGCAATAATGATAAGCTATAGTAAGTATAAGCTTTCAGAGGAGGAGGGCATATTTCACGTTAAGCAGCGGATTTGGGTAAATGATTGATGTGCTTCTTCCGCAGATCAGGAATCAACAGCACTGCCCGAAAAATGGGACGACATGCAAAATCAGCAGCTCAAAATAGCGGAATTGAAACCAGATGCAAAAGACTACAAGCAAGTGAAGGAAAGGTTTCTGAAGACCGCTCCATCACTGAATCTGAAAATTGAAAAGGTAAAAGCGTGTAATCGTTTATAAGCATACATACAGCTAATGAATAACGACTGGTAAACAGTGGAAAAACTAAATTCCATTGGAATTTGTTGGACAGGTCTTTACAGCAAAAGAAAGGGACACAGTTTTTCCTAATTGACTTAAAAGTTTGTATGTGTGTGTGTGTGTGTGTGTATTTAAGTCACTATCTGAAAAGGTTGCACAAAACCGTCAATAACCACCCAGTTGTCGAGTGCCTGTGATCCTCATGACCTTCAAACCTGGTGTAAAATATCTCTGCCCCCAGTAAGAAACTGCTTATGAAATCAAGTTTTATGATGCTGTGAAAACGCAGATACGGCAGTTTCAGTCAAAGTGCCCGTGGGTATCGTCTGTGTTCATGCAGCTGCCATGCCCTCTGCAGCGGGAAGGGCCACAGAACCAGGTACCGGATCAGGTAGCAAAGGTCAGCAAGCAGAGGGGATTCGCTGTCCGGAAACCAATGTAAAGCAATTTGCCAGTGAAGGTTGTTACTAGCGATGTCTTCAAGAACATTTGTTCTGTCTCAGCAGCGTGGACTGCTCACTTGTGGCAGTGCAGAGGCGTATACCGGATTGCTTGCTAACTCGCCACTCCTCAGTGGGGTAGCTCTGATTTGAGCTGGTTTGGTTATATGAAGCCAGTTGTGATATCATCTAGTTCCCCAGTACATTTTTCAGGCTCAAGCTGTTAGTTTCATGCATTAGCTCCTCCTGGAGTGACAGGGGACTAAGTACATCTGCACATAAGCATTTCTTCTTCAGAGCAGCCAAGTACTCAACAGTCAAGTTGCATGAGAATTTATTTAGGATGTTCCCCCAAAGACCAGGAGATTAGTGACAGCAATAATGTCTGTTGAACTGATTTTAAATTGGCATCAGTTCGATGCAGCAGTTGCTTCTAAGGCACCTGGTGAGCGCGCTCTTTTCTTCAGCAGAGCAGAACGTTTTCTCCCTTAAGCCACGTGTGCTCAGCAGGTGGATGTTTTGCGTATGACCCAGAAGCCTATCTCACAGAGCAAGACTATCTCTTGTAGTTTTCTATGGATTGCTTCTGTTGCATTCTGGGTCGGGTTCTGCTGTTTCATTCTGCTGAAATCTGGAGCCACGTGCCCAACGTATTTTATGATCTAGTGTCCACGTGTCGGTAGCTGGGAGGAGAATCTTGGGACACTGAATGGTTGATACTCGGATGTCTTTCTTAACAAGAAAAACTGAATGTCTTATTTTCAAACTTTGCAGATTGAAAGGGCCCAGAACCCATCTTTGTGGAAAGTCTACGGAATAAAAAAGTGTCAGATGGACGACAAAAACAGCGACAACAGCAATGAGAAGTTTCCGTCCCGTGGGGCAAGCGCAGAGTCGTTAACCTTCATTAGCAACTGTGGATTTAACCGCAGCTATGCTGGAATGCACGGTAACGTCCGTTTCAGAAGTACTCGTTTTCCTGGAGGGGGCTAGGAATAATTTGCCATGCTATCCGTGTAGTCCTGACGTGTGTGCCAAACTGTTAAATCTCTCTGTTGCAAACAAAAACCAAAATTGCCACCTCCAGAGCTTGCGGATATCTTGGGAGTGGTTGCTGTTAATTAATTTGTGTTTGTTTGCTTTGGCCTACAGCTGCACCGTATGAAAATGGAACTTACTTGGCTGTTCACGCCAGCTATTCTGCTGGCGACGTCTACTCAAAACCAGATGCAAACGTGGAGCGGGTTCACCTGCAAACAACCGGAAGAGCGGAGATACAGACCTTCTGGACACAAGTTCTCATGTAATACTCATTCAGAGTAAGTGTACAAGGACAGTGGCAAAGGACACTGTGGAAATGATGACAGAGTAAATGTAATGTCACCGAGTGCCTCCGCTACAGCGTTCTCCAGCAAGTTTCAAACCGCTTCTTGGATGTACAACCACTTAGGACAATTCAATGCTGCGATGGCAAATTTGAAATAAATTTAATATCAACAGATGCTAGAAATCCAATTATTGTTGTCCAGTTACTATTATATGTGTATTGTTGAGTAAGTTAGCTCATAGCTTCTAGTTTTGTGTCTTTCTTGTAAGGAAATCGGCAAAGGATTGAAGGAAAAAAAGGTATATTCCCATCCTGTCAGTATTTAGAGGTAACTAAGGAAAAGGAAGACTGCTCCGTAAGTTTCCTTTTGTGACTCCAAATTGTCCCTTATGTCCCGAGACTAACACCTTACTGCCTCCAGATTGAGCGCCTCGCTGTAACTAGGGAAAGAAAAAGAAAAAAAGAAAAAAATGCCCTTTCTGAAATAATCTTTGAGATTTGTGCGGATCAGCTTTCAAAGACAGGCAGAAACACTCCGTGTCTGTTTATTTAAACTCCGGTCCAAAATGAGACCTTGCTGCTGTTGCCTCTGGCCGAGCAAGCCGAGAGCATAAAGCAGCTGTTTCAAAAAACACTGGGATTTTTTTTTTTTTTTCTTTTCTGATAAGACAGAAAATAGAAATTTTACTGGTGATCAATTTTGTGGTTATGAATAGGGGGGCTAAAGAGATGGAAATCCCATTGAAGTCATCACTGCATCTCTATTTCAAGAATGTTGACATGTTAGGCTTACACAGGCTTACACATTTGACGCACATTTTAGCAGTTGTCCCTTCCGTCTTGCTCAGAGCGCTAGATGGCAGCTGCAGTTAGGGCACCAAACAAGAAAGCTGTACAGAACTGGAGAGCAGACCCGCCGAGCGGCTCGTCCCTACCTGGTTCTCCCCATTCCCTGGGCAGCTCCTTATTTCAGCGCGGATGTTTGCCTGATACAGGTATGAACCGTTTGACCGGTTCTCTTACTTATCTAAAATCCTTTTTACGGCCGCTCTTTCTTTTGCCATGAAAAGGGGAAGAAGGACGAATGAAAGCTTCAAGTGAATGACAGCGTTTTCTCTTTCCACCGTCTGCTTAGCAGCCCGGTTCAAACGCAGTTCCTGACTTCTGCCAGCAGCTCGCGCCGTTGATCTTCCTCGCGCCCAGGAACACGAGGCTTCCGACCGAAACCTCCCCGGAGCTGCACCAGAGCTGGTGTGACAAACAGGAGGGACAGCACAAAGGCCGTAAAGGAAAAAATGTTTTGAAATATATTCCACGGTAGAGTACAAACCAACTTGTTATTGGCACACCCCGGGCTCGTGGCGAGGCTTTTCTTTTTAATAACGCCGCTCACCACCGTACGCGACAGCGTCAGGCTCTCCACGCGCACACACACGTGTCTGTCAGCCGAACAGACAGGGCCTTTATTTTGAACCCCTAGGCAGCCTGTGCAAGCCCCGCATTCTGTAAACAAAGCGCGGCTGCCGCCTGGAAACCATCTGGCTTCTCGAGTATGACAGGAGCCAGCACATAATAGTCATTTCATAGCAAAATCCAACCGATATCCAAAAAGCTTAGAAGCTGAAACAGGCATATTGAAGCCGTCATCAGACGCTCCGCATCTAAAAGCAGCATTCAATGCGTAAGTTTAAAGCTGGAGGTTGTTAAAATTTTCTCGCCCCATTCCCAACATCAGTCCGATCCTGTGCATTCACCCCTTTGCGGGCTGACCCTAATGCTTCTATTGAGAATAAGAGGGTATGAATCTACCTTTGAGCCAGTATTACTACTAACGTGGGAACGTCCCACGAAAGAAATATCGCACCGAAGCAGGTGTTGTACTATTCACCATATCTTATCACTGCGCGCAAGCAAAGCAGAGCTTAAGCACTGAGCTTAACATTAGAGATGGAAAGACACGCAGTGCTTTCACTCTTCCTCCTGCTGTGACGTATTTTTCTTCCCTCTTTTTGTGCAAGAGAACAGTGGGGAATTGCTTTTTATTAAGTTCAGAACTTATATCCATTGGGCACGATGTTAGCTATCTACGACCTAGTCCACCACCACTGAACGTAAAAGGATCAGGAGAGCAATGTATTTTCACGGGCAGCAGCGTTACGCTGAGAGCCAAGTGGGGAAACAGATCTGAGATGCGGCTGTGCTAGCTGAATGAGAGATGTCCTCAGTGTAGTTTTAAGGAGAAATTCCATCAAGGACCAAAAAAAAAAAAAAAAAACCAAAAACACATTTCAGAGAAAAGTCTTACTGATCTCTGCAGGCAGCTCTATTCAGTTTGAACTTAGATAAGTGGACATTTCTGACCTCAAACAGGGCCTGCCCAAAAAAACCTTCCTGTCTTTGATTCACAGCAAACAAGTGAAAACCCTGAAGAGCGCTGAGAGATCAGGAGCTTACAAGGTCTATTGAAACGGCAGCTGCGCACTTCCGTGCCCGTTTCACAGAAGCAGAGGGCAAGGAGACTCTTGCAGCTACTGCCAGGGCACCGAAGGCTAGAAAAATCAAATGCAGCCGCAGCATAGAAAATCCATCTCTGTGGCATCAGTACATGTGAGATCCTCCTGCAACGTGCTTTTGTCCACCAGCGCTGCACTTAACAGAGAGTCTACGAGACTCCGCATGCCATTTAGTCTCGGCAGAGATGCAGTCAGAGGCTACGGCAGTTTCTTTAGCAACCTGAAAGGCTCCAGACCAGAACAGGAGATTCGCTTTAAGGCAAGATAAGCACATAAAAATGGTTTTCATTTACCATTTCCTTTGCTTCCAAAGGGCAACATAATCTCCATCCAAACAATGCAGAAATAAAGTCAGACGTCCAACTCGTTATTAACCAGGGTGAAATTAATTTTTGCAAATATTCCGTTAGAAAAATTCCCACAATTTTACATTTGGGAGAACGGTCAGAATTTCTCTGATGAATGTCGTCAAAATGGAAAGCACCAAACGGGAATGCTGCCAGCAGACTTAGAACGAGGCTCCCAAATGCGTACCGTGGAAGTGATCGTAAGAGCGCGCCGACGCCGCCACACTGCACGCTTACGAACAAATTACCCCAAGCCCTTTTTCTGGATCATGCTTCAGATCAAGTTTTGAGGCTCCAGAAATGTAAAATAAAGAAAAATGATTGTAAACATTGACATTTTTTTGTTGTTTCTTTTCAAATACTCTGTGTTCAGTGAGAAAGGCCATACTGAAGAAACTTTGTCCGAGGTTTTCCCTGGCACTTAAGAGCTGCTATGGAAAAGCTCAGCGGAGGCTGCAGTCACGATTTTGAACCGCTATCCACCTTATAGAAGAACCCCACAAAAATAAATAAACACATAAACAAACAAACAAACAAATAAATGCATGAGTGAATGAATGAATGAATGAATGAATGAATGAGTGAATGAGTGAATGAGTGAATGAGTGAACAAAAAGTTCCCTGACTACTTGTCTGTTGTGCCAGTTGCTCTGCACTTGTTTTATTGAATGATTTAAAAGCAAATGATCAATGCGAACGTCGTTCAGGTGTCACAGGCGTGTCCTCGTACTGCCTACGTTCCCTTTCGTGCTGTGTAATGTAGAGCTACCTCAAACACCTTTACGCTGCGTTGGGTTTCCTTCGTAGCATTTGCTAGCGTCAGGCGAACAGAAGGAAAATCCTCCTGCGCCTCCAGGGAAGTAATGAAGCGCATAGGTAATTTACAGCGTTCCAAGGAGGACAGGGGCTTATCCATCTCAGATCACACCGATCCCTAGTGCCGACCCAAAGGGCCCAAACTGAGATTTCTGTAGAACTCATTAAACAAGCAGCTATCTATTTTTTCTGTCCCCAGCACAGTCAAGGCTCCATCAGCTGATCAAATCCAGCAAAAATAAAGCTCGGTCGACAGGCTTCATCGCCATAAACAGCTTTTCCCTCCGGTTCTGGCAGCTTCTACTCGCCAGACGCCCACTCTGAACACCCAGCAATTATGCCTTCAAAACACACGTGTGATTTTACACGCATACTGGAGTTTTGGTTGGAACTCGATGAGCTGTTGCCTTTTTGAGGAAAAAACAAAGATCCTTGTGAAAATTTCAAGAAGTCCTTATTAGGCCTCCCTGTTAATCACTGGGAAGCTGCAGCTCTGACCTTTACAGCCAAGGCTGCGCTGTGCTTCTCAGTACAGAGAGATCCCTGCGCTGCCTCCTTTCCCGACTCCCTCCACACCGGCCCCGTCCACGCTCTAGACCCTACGAGCAGTCGTTTCTCTCGGCGCTGCTTGTGCGTCTTCTCAGTCAGCACGCTGAACTCCAAGGTATCGAGTTGAGGTACGGTGAAGTTCATCAGGAAAGCCGCTTTACAAGCTGAAGCCAGAAACTCTCTGACATTTTGGTCTCCTGCAGGGCTGATCAGAACTTGTCAGGTGACAGAGAAGCAAGGCAAACTTTGCTGAGGCTCGTGCAGTTGCCCCAGTAGGGCAGACCGACCGGCCGTCCGACCGGCCGGCACTGCAGCTCATCCACTCTCGTTGCTGTGCAGGAAGGCTGCTCGCGGCGGCTCAGGTTCTCAGGCAAAGGATAAAAGCCACCAGCCTACCCAGAAAGGTCCCTCCAGCGTGAGACTGGCGTTCTCTCGAGGGGGGACGGCGTTCCCTTCAGCTGCCTGTTTTCACCTGGGTAATGAAATTACAAATGAAAGCAAGCTACCGGAGGGGAGCAGAGAAGCTGGAGTTTGTCCGGGTGAATATCGGCACCAGCGACCTCGCGTTTCTATCCCTGGGAATGGTTCACACACTGCATTTGCAGGCTTCACCTGACTCGCCTCTGAAACGCAGCCGTCTCGGAGGCAACCCGCTGGTCATTTAATAGCGCTTAGCCATGTCACACAACAACTCAGGGCAGGAAGGAAGAGAAGGAGAACACCGTATGAAATTAAGATGGCACCAAGCCAAATCTAGGGGGAACAAATGCCGCGAGAGCCATCAAAATCCGAAAGAAAAGAGGCCTCACTTTCCGTCTGTCTTCCGAAGGACAGCACCTTAAGCAGCAAAGCACCGCGCAAGGCTGCTGGTTCAGTGCCACCTAAGAAGGAAGACGCCGCCCTACCGAAGAATAGGCAGAATTCAAGCTGAAACAGGAACCGCTTTCATCGTGAAATGCAGAGTTCTCACGGCAGCGTTTCCCCAGGACTGCAGCACAGCCAAAATCATAGTTCGCATTTCTCCTCCAGCGGATGTCACACCGGTCAGCCACTAGAGCCAAACGAACGCACGACGTGAAGACCGTCCCCTCTTACGGCCGAATATTTGGTCGGGTTTGTTTTCACAACCGTTTCTGTTCGCGCTAAAAGGAAGCTAAATGCCACTCAACGCCCTTTTGCCTGCCGTCGGCAGGGAAAAGCGCGGCTTCCGAAGACGGAAAGCCAAGCTGTCCCGGTTCGCATTGAAAAACGCGGTCGTTATGCAGCTGAACCCTTCGTATTTATTTCTTTGCGGGACAATCCGACCTCCTTGAGCGCGCGCTAAAGGATTCGTCCCGTCTAAATCGCAGAGGAGAGATTTAATGACTTCCTTTTTACAGCTAAACGCTATTAAGCGCTTGCCAAAGTATCCCGTGCAGTATTCACGGCAGCAGCTCCCACTGCCTTTACGCGTCAATACCGATCGGCTCCACTTCCGATCGCAGCGGTCCGTTCGGGAGTTTGTCACATCGCCACTACGCCAGGTACGAAGTTTGGACACGGTTCGCGATCTTTTTATTTATTCCTTTACTTACTGATTCGGACGAGGGGAGAGGGACAGCGGAGCGGAGACAGCACGCCGCGGGGGCCTTCGGAACCCGTCAAGGCCGGCGGCTTTCTTCGGAACGGCGTCGCGCGAGACGCGCAGCGACCCGTTGGAATGAGGCACACTGATCGGACTCGTTAGCGAACCCCGCCACGGGGGGAGGAGAAGCGCATAACAAGCCGCCATGGAAAGCGCGGCTTAAGTCCCTCTTTCCGATCGGGAGCCCACGTGCCCAGCTGTCAGATTCCCCGGCCGGCCCTAACGAGCTCCGCCGGCGCTAACGAGGCAACGAGTCCCAGCTGCCGCGGGACCGCGGGCACAGCTGCGCCTCGTCCGCAGGCGGGGCGGGTCCTCCCCAAAGCCTCTTAAGCTCCGCCCGAGGCCGCCGGGAGCCACGACAGAGCTGCCGGGAACCACGAGGGAGCCGGTAGGGGTTCCGTTCCTCCGTCCCGTCCTCGCGCCGGGCTGCTTTTCGGGCGGTATCTCGGGATTCTGCGTGACTTTTTCTGTCGCGTTGTTTCGTTTCAGGTTGCGGCGAGGTGTCTCCGGCGAGGACCAGCCGGAGCCGGCGAGCCGTTCCGGTAGCGACGAGACCGCGGAGGCAGCCGGCGCTCGGGAGCCGTTCCTGCCCGCCTCCCGCGGCAGGAGGCCGCCCGGCTCTCGCCGCGCTCCGTTCGGGGGCCGGCGCGGCGCTTCCGCCGGGCTTCTCCGGCTTCGCGGAGCCGGGCAAACATCGCCGCCCGGCCGCCGTCGCGTTTTCCGAGGGGCTGCCGCTCGGTTCCCCGAGTCCCAGCGCGCTTTCGGCCCTCCGGGGCTTTTTTTTTTTTAGCGGGAGCTTCAGTCGCTCCCTGTCCGGTGGGTAGGAGCGAGCGGGATGGGGCCGCATTTTTCCGGCCTCGGTGCTGCCGAGACAAGGCTTCTCGTTTTGCAGGCTGAGCGGAGGCTGCAGCGGAGGCTCTCGTCATCCCGAACCGGTGAGACGGTGGAAGAGGTGAGCAGTCCGGGAATCACTAGGTAAGATCTGTCTTCTTGGGGCTCGCGTCGGGCCGCCCCTGCCGGTTCTTCGGGATCAGCACGGCGGCGCCGCTGGGGTCCCACGCGTTTCCTCCCCCTCCCTCCCGCCTGCAACGGGCATCTCGAGGAGCGCGATCTCGTTCCCATCCCGGAGTTGCGGTGGGACAGGTCGCACGGCTGGAATGCCGTTGTGGATGCTTGCGCGTTCCTTACAGGAGAGGCAGGGAGGCGGTGGAGTTTCTCTTCGGCTCAGAGAACTGGACAGCACGGAGCCCCGCTTTCCTCCTCAGCAAGGTGACAGCTGCCAGCGACTTGAAGGACCTTTTTCCGGAGGAGTCGCAGCGGATTTGGCGAGGGGAGGCGACGCCGGACCCAGCCGGTAGCCTCGCGCGTGGTCGGGACGGGCGAGAGGAGAGAAGGGCAGCGGCTGTTAGTCGTTAGTCAGCGCGCGAAGCGCAGGAGCGGCATTGACACCCGCAAGATGAGAAGCGAGAAGGCTTTTTCGGTGAGAGCGGCGCTGGGGTCGCGGAGTCCCCTTCTCCGGGAACGCAGCGGCACCGGATGACTTCGTGGCAGGGTGAGGCGCGCTTGTCCGGGAGCGGTTTCACCGGCGGCGAGACGAAGGAGCCGCGAGTCCTGCGTCCGGAGGGCCGCAGGCGCCCCGGGCATCCCGCCGGCGAGAGTCTCCGGAGCGAGGTAAGCGGTGTTCTTTTGTTTCTGAGTGGCGTGCACTGTGAGCAGGTGGCGGGGGACACAACTGCGTTTCGTTGGAGGGTGACGGTGTACGTGGCTTTGAGGTGCGATGGTGTGGGGCAAGTCTGGTCTTGGAGGAGGGTAACCTGCACCGTTTAGGCTTGTGTTTTGTGAGGGAGCTTGGGGTCTTGGTGCTGTTTTGTTGTTTTTTAGTTTTGTTTTTGTTTTTTTTGTTTTGTGGTGGTGGTGTGTTTGGTGAGATGCAGCACTGCTATATTTTTTTCTGTTGTTCCCTGAGGTGCAGCTTGTTTGGAGAGGAAGGTCCTTGTCCTTGGCTGAGGAGGAAGCAGAGGAGATGGGCCAGGTAGTACTTGGTGTTGGTGGGTGTCTTGTCTTGGTGGTGGGTAGTTGGTGAGCATGGTAAAAGGGGGGAAGAGCACAGGCCACATGCTTGGACTTGGTGTCTGAGCGTGTGGCCTGTGCTCTTCCCCCCTCTGGCCTGGGGCTGTTGACTGGGATTTGCACTATCTCGAAAGAGATTATTTTTTTAGGGCGGGAGGGCGGGCAATGGTCAGTAACGGAAAAAATTTCGTCTGGGGGCTGCGTGGTGGCCCGGGCAGGGCCTGGGGGAGCCTCTGGTGGAGGCTCCCCCTGAGGGGGGGGGGGG